ACTTACTCTGCTTTCTTTCCACAGATTCAGCTAAATGTGGGTGTATAAAAGAGGAAGTGATGAGACATCAGTTTCCTAAACAATATAGTCTAATTACAGCACAAGAGTGTGTACAATTCACCTTAACACTCCGTTGTGGTAGGTTTTATGAATTGAATTACATAGTGTTCTAAGGTAATTTGGATGCAACCAGCTGAATCTCTATTATGGTACATATGTAAAAGAAATAGATTAACTATTTAAAAAATAGAGAATTTTTCCTATTGGAAATTATACACCTGATCCCAACAACTTTAAAAGTTTTTTTCCCCTAAAATTATACAGAATCAATGTTCAACTGCGTTTCCTGGGAACATCTTTTCCAGTTAGAAGATGTTAGGGCGTTGACATTAACCCAAGTCCTGTGTGCTTGTGCCTTTGATAAGGTGTTTAATTATATTAATAAATAATATACTAAATATATTAATAACAAGTAGAATTTCAAAAAACATCATTTTCTTTACAAAATGAAAAACGATTTCTTAACAAGGGGGTACGATATGTATTCATTAATATTAAAACATGTTAGAGACTTGTATGATGCTTTCTGAAAATTCCAGTTTTTTATCCAATAAAAATCTTGACAATTGTTTACTTACACTAAATAATCATTTTAAATATTTCCTTGAACTCTACACTACATTAATGAAAAGACTGTTTACTCCGTCAGTATTCAAAACACCAGAGAAATCAATGAAGTAGTAAAAAATAATTATATTGTGATAATAAAGAATAGGATTTGACCATGTGCCAAACACTAATCTAAGAGTAAAGGTTAATTTTATTCTTACAAGAATCCTGTAATGTTCAGATTGTTATGGTCCCATTTTACAAAAAAGGAAACTGAAGCAAGGAGAGATTAAGTAATATATCAAAGTTATAGCTCCAAGTGGTGGAGACAGATTTGAAACTGACCTTAGGGCATCTACTTTCAACCCCTACACCTTACTGGCTGCAGGGCTTTGAACAAGTTCTTCTGGTTCAAACGCCTGCTGAGAATGCACATTTCCACCCCAGATAGACTGAATCAGAATCTGCATTTTTACAAGATCCCCAGGTGATTTTTATAACTTCCGGGGAACTTGTCAGAAATGCAAATTGTCAGCAGGGAAATGCACATTCTAAGCAGGGGTTGAAACCAGAACGAACCAGCTTGAAGCCCCGTGGCTGCCTGAGTTTGCTAGTGTTGCCCTAACAAAATAGCACAGGTGGGTGGCTTAAAGAACAAAACTTAACTGTCTCACAGTTTGGGAGGCTAGAAGTTTGAATTCAGGTCATCAGCAGTGCTTCTTTTTGAAAGCTCTAGGCGAATGTCCTTCCTGGTCTGCTTCAGCGTTTGTAGTCCAGGGCAAGTGTTCTTTGGCTTGAAGACAGATTCTCACAAGGTATCTTCCCCCTGTGTGTATGTCTGTGTCTGTTTTCCCATTTTTAAGACACCACTCAGAAAAGGAGGAGCCCTGGTGGTGCAGTGGTTAAAGTGCTGGGCTGCTAACCAAAAGCTTGCCAGTTAGAACCCATCAGCTGCTCCGCAGGATAAAGATACGGCAGTCTGTATCCTTAAAGATTTACAGCCTTGGAAACCCCACGGGGCAGTTCTACTCTGTCTGATAGGGTCTCTATGAGTTGGAATCGACTTGACAGCAATGGGTTTCAGTTTTTTACCCAGAAGGGATTAGGTTTAGGCCGCACACCACTTTGGTATGACTTCATTAACATAACGACCAAAAAAATGCTATTTCTAAACAGGGTCACATCCACAGGTACAGAAGTTAGAGCATTAACGTATCTTTTTTGGGGGAGGGGCATGGTTCAATCTGTTAACATTGGCTCTCTGCTTCTGCTTTATTAAGTTTTGTATCAATTACATTCAGAATAATTATAATTTTTTTAAAAACACTCATAAATTTTGCTTCTTTAAAAGTTTACCAAATATAAGGTACTTACGATTTTCTCAGGAAATCAAAGAGGGAATTTTTGCCCCCCCTCCCCCCCCAACTGAGATTCATCCAACAGAAATATGATGCATCAGGTACCTCTGTGGATTTCTTAAAGGGAAATAGGTATTTACTGAGGACTAGACTTGGAAGTACTCGATCTTAGAGATTGCTTTGGGAATGTGAGAACGTCATTTTCTGGCTCTCCAGTAATTTATTTTGAATTTGCTAAATTCACTGATGTGTGAACTGGTTATCAAAGCTTGATAAACAGCTTATAAATCTCTTTGAAGTTGGCAGAAATAAATATTGATGAGTCAATTTTCAAGAAATTTAAGGCCAGTTTCTTGTTCTGTCCCCGTAAGTAAAAAAGAGGATCTCAGTTGTTTTATTTAGAAAAGAATCAACAATTTAGTAGAAAGAAATTACGTTTCTCAAGATAGTCATAAGACTATTTATTACATGAAAGCAGACTATATGCATAAAAATAGTGCTCCTTGAAAATTCACCTAGGAGTTTCATAACATGAAGATTTTGTATAAAATTTACTTATTTATAAAACACAGACATGATAATAATTCTAATTCTACAAGGTACTAAAGCTGAGCTGTCTGACGGAGGTTTCGTACGGCTGATCTTAGGCTAGCAAAGCAAAGAGCCAGGATCTCAGGCACCAAGTGCCTAACAACGTCCGAGTCTTACCAACATTCCATTGAAACGGTTACTTGCTTCCTCTTCCAGGAAAAGGACAAAGAGACTCAAAGGGTTGGAGTGGCTTGCTCAGGCCACATGGCTAATAAGCAGCATAGTCAGGATTTGAAACCATGCCTGTCTACCTGCAAACCTGTGTTATTTCAGAATTTGAAAAAGGAAAAATAGACTATTTCTATGTGATATATTTTAAGCATACAAAAAAAGATGACACTCCAGGTCTTCAAAATACATGTTAAAAAGGGAAGATAGACATATGATAGACAGACAGACAGATGATAGACAAGAAAGCTCTGGCCCTGAAACATTAAATGGAATGCCCCAAATTAATAATCAAGCCTGGACCTGGTCTCAGAATTCTTGTGCCTATTTTCCCTTTAAGAAGCCCTAGGGGCACAGTGGTTAAACTGCTTGGCTCCTAACCAAAAGATCAGCGGTTCGAAGCCACCAGCCACTCTGTGGGAGAAAGATGCGGCCATCTGCTTCCCTAAAGATATATAGCCTTGGAAACTCTATGCGGCAGTTCTACTCTGTCCCCCAGGGTAGCTATGGAATCTGACTCCACGGCAACAGGTTTGCTTTTTTTGTTTTTTGTTTTTTTTCCCTTTTGGAGATATTTGTTATTATAACACTGGCATTCTGTTTTCTGGATATAAATGATTCCTCCTCATAATTATGAAAAGCTTGAAATCTTCAAAGTCTTTTGCACTTCATTCCAATTAAGTTTATTACAGTGAGACCTGTGAGAGCCGGAACGCAATAGCAATGCCTTGTTTTCCAAGTCTCACATGTTTTCCACCTTTGACAGGGTACAGTCTTACCACTTTTCCATCGCTCCTTTTAGTGGAAAATATTTGAGTTTTCCTTCTCTGACAGGTTTCCACCTTACACAGGTTTCAGTTTTTGCAGGCTTTACTGTATATCCTTTCTAGAAGTTCTGGCCCATATCTGATTTTCGTAAAGGGATGAGAGAGAGCAAAAAAGACCTGGATCGCCACATATGGTTGGGAAGCTTGTTCATTGTATAAGGACGCCCAGCTGAACGGACTGGGGCATGGGGGCTGAAATCCCAAGTGATAGCATGGTGCTGCATCCACGTAAAGAGCGTGCCACTATTAATTTGCATAGAGGCACCTTATAGGCACAAACAGGCCCCGAACGGACGCCGGAAGTTAGGAAGTGAAGGGGAGGAGGTGGCTGTATGTAAAGATTTTCAGATCCAATTTCTATCAGAAATTAATTAAAGGAACTGATTTATATGACCAATGAGGACAATGTTTATCAGTTAAGTGAATCAGTGTGAGGATAGGAAGATATATTCTGTTAGCACCTAGAAAAGGAGAGAGGAGTATAATTTCATTTCAGGAGAAAAGATTTAGGATGAACATCAGCAGCATGTACAACTTCACTGCAAGGGATATGAGAACTGTTACTTAGAAGGCCTGTAAATATGTAAGAAAATAGCTTTTTACAGAAGGTGAGAGAAATAGAAAACTCTCACATCCTTTGACTTTATGACTGTGTTTCAAAAACTTCTTAAAGTTTTCTTGGAATCAAACACCATGACATTGTATGTATCATGTTTTCAGAAATCATGACACCATCACTGTGACAGATTCTGAAGAGTCTCTGAAGAAGCACTTCTGAACACCAAGCTATTGGTTCTTTATTTACTGGATACATAACAGCATTTTCTATTTTAAAGCTGAATGTCTTTGAAATTCTAACAATAACTACCCATTTTTTGACTACCAGACACCATACTAGGTAGTTAGCATACGTATTGCCTATCTTCACCAAAAAAAAAAAAAAAAAAAAACCACTCTAAAATTGTGTGTTACCATTCCCTTTCTATCAACAAAGAAACTGAGACTTAAAAGAGGCTAAGTGACTTGCTTAATCTCATGTAGCTAATTGTTGCCAGATTGCAGATCCAGAAACTTGCCTGTTCTGCTTTTAAAAACCTGAGCTCTTTCCACCATACCTGATTAACCCCTATGAGAAGGCTTCTGTGTAGGGGAGAAAATGGCATTTTAGCTAATCAAAATTTTGATGTAAGATTTAAAAACAATTATCTTGTATCAAATATTATAATCCACACATTCTCCTACAATTTCCTAAAGTATAAACTTCTTAAACTTGCCATAATTTTAAAGTACATAATATATATGAACTAACAAACTACCTTTCATGTAGCTGGTCATCAGTAAGTTTGCACGCGCGCGCGCGCACACACACACACACACCCACCCACATATACACTTTTGAGTTATAAATTCTAATTTATTAGAAAAGAAACATGGAGTGACTGCTTACCTGTTCAGACAATTTTTGTCCATTGCGGTGAGCGTGCATTACAGCATCATTAACAAGCAAGTGGAAGTTCAGAAGCACGTGTTCAATATCATACGTTCCATGCATCGCATGTGACAGTTCTTCCAATGACCGGATGTATGCATGCCAGTGTGGATTAAGCTCCGCCATGTGTGCCAAGCAGCCTCTCACGACATTGAGGCAGTACCCCATACAAGGCTTACTGAGAGTCAGGCCCTGGCAGTGAGGGCAGTACTGCATCTTCAGCAGGGCTCGGCTGCACTCTTTGGAGAACTGCACATGGTCTGTGGTATTGATGACTTCAATGCCCAGATTGAGTGCCTGCAGAAACGTGCGGATGGGCAGCAGTGACCTTCCCATCTGCCCCATTACTCTTTTGGGAATACTACCAAATGGACTAACATCCCGGCGGGCCATGCGGATGCATTCTGAATACTCCATGGACCTGCCAGTCACGCCAGGGTTAATCAGATGGTTGTAAACCAGAGGGAAAAGACTGTCAAAAAATCTGTTCACAAATTCTTCAGGATTAACATCTGTACCAAATAAAAAGAGGCCTACATCCATGAAGAACTCCTGAACTGAAGCAGCTGCTTCTAAGGCCATGTTCCTGTAGGTGTTGCAAAAAAGTATACTAGTGTAATTTTCTGCTTGTCTGATGAGAGTTTCAAGCGTTTCTGTAACAAAACAGAGGGAAGGATGAGAAGGCTTAGTATTCATGTTAAAATTGTTCATCCATCTCTTCTTCAAATAGTAAACGAGCCTAAGCATGGAAAGCTAATCTAAGGACCTAAACGGCAAGTTTTGGCTACAAAACCAATTTAGCATTCCAAGGATAGCTGCTGGTCAACAATGGACATTACATACAACACATGAATTTTATAGAGACGAATTTCCTAGACTCAAAGTCTGCTAAAAACACACAGAAATCAGGAGTGATGTCAGCAAAATGGTGGAGTAGGCAGCTGTGAACTCCCATCCCTCCAAAGAAACATTAAAATAAATAAATAAACTTTCAGAATCAACTTTTTCATAACTTTAGAAAACAATAAAAGGTTACATTAACCAACCAAATGCTGGATCAAGAAACAGGCAAGATAAAAATGACAGGAAAGCTTTGTGGCATGTTTGCTTGCCCTTGCGTTACCCCCTCCCAGCTCAGTAGCAGCTCTGAAAACAGCAGTGCAAGATCCCAGTGTGGGACCCTTGATCCCTGATTCTGGAGGAAGCAGAGTAGACCTCTGTGATGGTTAAGATTGTGTGTCAACTTGGCTAGGCCATGATTCTCAGTGTTTTGGCAGTCATATAATGTGATCACTTGCCTGTTGAAATTTGATATGTTATCACTCCCATGATGGGATCTGCCGTGAGTAGCCAGTCAGTTGAAAGGCAGTCTCCTTGGACATGGGGCCTGCATCTGAATATAGGCAGACATTCTGGCTTTTGCCTGTGCTGGATCCTGCAGCTGGCTCCTGTTCCTCTGGCCTCCAGTTCTTGGGACTTGAGCTAGCAGCTTAATTTCGGTATTGCCTGACAATCTTGGGAGTCATCGATCTTCACAGCCTGTAAGCAAGAGCCCTGCTCTCCAACCTGCTGATCTTAGGTTCGCCAGCCCCTATGGCTACATGAATCAGAAGCAGCCTCTATCCTGATCCATGGACTTGGGGCTTTCCAACGTCTACAACTGCATGAGCCATTTCACTGATATAAATCTCTGTATATATATATTTATATGTTACTAGTTTTGCTTCTCTAGAGAACCCAGCCTAAGATGATCTCATTCACAAAGTATTCTGTTGTTCTTTTCTAACCTTTCTGGAGGTCACCTGAAGGACTGGTGCAAGGTGCTTATCTCTGTTTCACCTAACTTAGAACCCACTCTGGGCAGAAAAGTGGTAGGTATTGCTCAAAAATACCGTATGGTGATAGAACAACTTGCAGCCACCTGGGACAACAGATTAAAGTTGAGGCATATAATAAACAACCTAAAGAGTGGGAGAATAAAGTAAAGAGAGAGTTTCTTTGGGAAATTTCTAGAGCATTCACAAGCTTTCGTGTATAGTGAGGAATTTAGAAAGCCATGCACATGCCCAGGATAGGACACATGTCCAGGAAAGACCTGAGTAGACCTTGTGCTTTCACCATAAGCTGTTCTATAGGCTCAGTGAAAGCAGGAAGCAAAGGCTAATAGAACTATAAATGGTCTAAGTATTAACAGATTGCCCCAGAACTGAGTTAATCTGCACACATTAGGAGATGTGAGGTTAGTTTTTCTATTTGTTTTTTAAGCTTCCAGCATTCTAGGAAATCTCAGTCAAAACACTGGCTGAACACAAGCTAAAACTTCAAAAATTAAGAATAGCAAACCCTAGGAAAGGAGGAAAATATGATTCCAGACTTACCACCTTATAATATGCAAATGTCGTTTTCAACAACAAAATAATCATGAAACATACAAAAACCCAGAAAGAATGTCCCATTCAGAGGGAAAAAAAAAAATTAACGGATCAAAACCATCCCTGAGGAAGCCCAGCCATTGGAGTTATTAAAGATTTTAAATCAACTGTCTTAAATATGTTCAAGGACCCAAAGAAAATGAAAGACAAAGAATGAAAAAAAACTAGAAATAAGATGTATGCAGAAAATGACTATCAATAAAGAAGTAAAAGTTTATAAAAGAGAACCAAATATAAGTACTGTGGCTGAAAATTACAATCATTAGAATTTTAAAATTCACTAGAGGGGTGCAACAGCACATGCAACCAGGCAGAAGACTCAGTGAATTTAATTTAAAGAAGAAGAGAAAGGGAAGAGGGCAGAAAGTAATATTTTAAGAAATAATGGCCTCAAACGTCCCAAATTTGATGAAAGACATGAATCTACACATCCAAAAATATCAACAAACTGTTAGCAGGATAAACTCAAAAAAATCCACACTGAGACAAATTACAGTCAAACTGTTGAAAGTCAAAGCCAAAAAGAATCTTTAAAGCAGCAAGAGAAAAGCAATTCAAAATGTACAGGTGATCCTCAATAACAGTAACAGGTCATTTCTCATCAGAAATCACAGAGGACAGAAAGCAGTGAGATAACATTTAAAGTACTGGAAGAAAATAAAACTAGAATATTTTATCCAAAATTACGGGAGAAAACATAAAAAGAGTATTTTGGAGTAATTAGCCAATGAAAATGGTATTTTAAAATGATAGTTTTAGGCAACAGTTGACCACCTTGTATATATTAGTAATTACATACTATAATTAGTCTAAGTAATGATACTGGACTATATCAATATATAATAAATTATAGCATACATTCAATAAAATTATCCTGTATCTTCAATCTCGTATTTATTTTAATTAGGTTGCAACAGGTCACAGGATAATTCAGTAATTAAACCATTGTTTGAGAATATTATAAAAAGAGATGGACAGAGTAGAAAAAAATAAAATGAAATAATAAAAAGCAGGCCTGCAAGGAGAGCTACAAATAAAGTGAAACTGGTCTTAATATGAAGGAGTCCTAGTGGCACAGTGTTTGAGCATTTGGCTGCAAACTGAAAGGTCAGCAGTTCAAACCCACTGGCCACTCCACGGGAGCAAGATGTGGCAGTCGGCTTCTGTAAAGATTATAGCCTTGGAAACCCTGTGGGGCAGTTCTGCTCTGTTTTATAGGGTCACTATGAGTCAGAATCGACTCAACAGGTTTGGTTTTGGTCTTAAATATAGCATGGTGTCCTCACAAATAAACCACTTCCTGAAAAGTACAAACAATGTAATATTGCATGCTCTGATTCTGGCCTGAGACTTCTTCATGTACGGCTACAAGCTTTAGTGTGATATGTCAAGGTGCATCTACCTTCTATTAAAGGCAGTAGCTTTGCAAGATTAAATAAGTGGCATCAACGGAGTACGAAAAACTCTGTTAACTAGGCAGGACCCAGTGCCCACTAGAGTACTTGCTACATAGAAGGCATTCAATAAGCATGTGCAAGAATGAAAATGGGATGTTAACTGAAGGCTTCACTTGAGCTTAGCTGCTCTGCCAGGTGAGACAGCATGAACATCAGAATTCCAAAACAGGCCTGATCACCTGGGCTACTTGGAGAAAATACAGATTGCCAGGTCTCTCCACTGGGGATTCTAACCAGGAGGTTAGTCTTGGTCCAGGAATATATATTTTTAATAAGCAGTCCAAGTGATTCTTTCAACCTGACCAGTTTTTGAAACACTAAAATTGCAGATATATATAAAATGTTCTCTCTGGTCTTACTGAGTGGGTCAGCAAGAATTTCCCCAGGACAGTCTGATCCCACAGCTGCCATCTCAGACACTACACTCTGCTTTCACAGATCTACAGAGTGAATGTGACGACCAAATTGAACCTTTGTGATCTGAACTACATTCAGACCTGCTAAGCTTATATTTTTCTCATTGACATAGGCTTATTTTTCTCAGCAATTTGTGTGTTACTATTAATTAGGGTCACTATGAGTCAGAATTGACTCAACAGCAACAGGTTTTTTTTTTTTTTTTTTTTTTGTAAATTCATTATGAGGAGCCCTGTCGGTACAGTGGTTAAATGTTAGGCTGCTAACCAAAAGGTTAGCAGTTGGAATCCACCAGGCCCTCCTTGGAAACCTGATGGGGCAGTTCTACTCTGTCCTGTAGGGTCACCATGAGTTGGAGTTGACTCGGCTATGACAATGGGAAGAGCATCTACTGGAAAGAAAGATGAGTTGAGTTCTTCAAATATTCTTATTTCTTTTTTAAGGCTTCTCTGGCACTTCTGACAACAAATTAATTTTGATTAATGTGCATAATTGAAACTTAAACATAAATTTCCGAACAGTCTACAATTTTAATTTTATTTTATTTCATACTAGCTTTTCTCTGATTTAGTTTTATCCTTTTTTTAAAAAATAAACATAAAACTGATTTTTAAAAAAATTTAGGAATCATGTTATAATAGAATTCCAAAACTTTCTCCTAATATCTTATACATTGAAATATTAGTTTTCATAACTATATATTGATTTTACCACCCTTTGAGACTACATGTTCTCAAATATTAACATTCTGATTATCCCATGAATATACAAACAAAAATGTGTGATTTTTTAAATTTTTCAGATTTTTTTAGCTATACTAGCTTGTCACAGTAAAAGGTTTTTTACTTTTTTGCCTTCAATTTGCATTAAATCTGACACTGACACATTAACATCGTCTAAACATGTTAGGTATGTTTGTACGTGTACCTTTGTGATCATAAATTTTTGTGATCTCTTAAATTCAATCAATGAGGAAAACTGTAAACAATTGTTCTAAATATATTAGACACTCTAATGTTTAGGAATAAACATACTTTTGTGAAAATTTTATCCTAATGGCTTGAATTGTTGCTGTTGTTAGGTGCCGTCCAGTTGGTTCCAACTCAGAGCCACCCTATGTACAACACAAGGAAACACTGCCCCATCCTGTGCCATCCTCACAATCATTATTATGTTTCCACACATTGTTGCAGCCACTGTGTCAATTCATCTCATTGAGGGTCCTCCTCTTTTTCACTGACCCTCTATCAAGCATGATGTCCTTCTCCAGGGACTGGTCCCTCCTGATAACATGTCTAAAGTACATGAGACGAAGTATCACTATCCTTGTTTCCAGGAGGACCCTGG